TGAGCTTCCTGCTGACCTAGAGTCCACTGCTTTATTCGTGGCCACTTTGCAATGTGCCGCTATGACTCCAAGTTACCATAACCAAGGCTGATCAGGCTTATCATAGACCGAAGCGGAAACAATTTTTGGTATTTCAGTACGGAAAATCTTGAAGATCAAAAAGGATTCGTCACACTAATCTCGCAAAAACTTCGACAAAGCAGCGATGATTATATATATCCTTTTTGCAGAAAATTGATTTCCGGAAGCAGTAAATGCTTTGACCGGTCCATAAAAAGTTTGCTCGTTCCCGTCCGTAACTGCATCAACAAGTCACAGCAGAATAAACGCATGTACAGGTGATGTAATATTATGGGGCCCATGTTCAGCGCTTGCGTGCTCTGCAATACTACAGCAGAAGACGCGAAAGCGTCGTATAGGTGAACCGCACCGCCAAGAGCCTACAAGGAAATCATCACAGCGTAAATGTTGGCGAAATTTCCCTATGTTGTAACATTGCCTCGTAACATTTTCATTCTCCCGTAAGAACATAATTGAGTGGTTACTGTTGTGACAGAAAACTTCGCCTTACTAGTTGGTTTCCCCAGCGTGCAGCCAAGAGTGGCCACTGTTAAAAGTTGGGGGGGGGGGGGGGGGGGGCTCGTGTTTTACTTGCCCCCCCCCCCCCGGCTGATACGCCTATGACTGTGACGTACGCTAGCATGACGTAAGGGGGTGTCGCGTTGTCTGGGCAAGTTCATACACGCGTTCCATGCAGGAAAAACCAACACACAGCTCGCAGCAGACAAAAGAGCCTGGCAGCGAAACCACGGTGGCCATGTTCCCGGCACTGGAGCAAGCTGGGGGAACGACTCGCCAAAGGGGAGGGCGCGCCTGATTCCCATAGCCATAAAGCATTTACTTAACGCGCCGTCAGAATGGGCATTCCTGTCTGTCATAATGGGACAGACTGGAATGCAAAAACAGGTTCCACCACAAATACAAGGCTCCAACAGTGGTGGAAGTGGTGCCGAAAGTGAACTCTCTTTTGTGCTTTTGATTTTTTTGTTCTTTTCTTTTTTTGTATACCTAGGCTAGAACACTGCATATGTGTTACCCCGTTACAAAGAGCAAAGCGTCAAATCATCATCAAGATCATCATCAGCATGTAGAATAACTGTATACTGTATATGCTGCAAACGGGAGTAGAGTAGCGCATAGGTCCGTCATCTAGCCTGGTTAGCAGTCATAGTTAAGCGGCGAAGCCAGGCCCTGTTTTTGCAGGCAACTTGACTAAGCCTGTTGCCGATCGAAGAAGCGTGTCGCCGATCGCCAGTCGACGTGCCTGGCGTGTCAACGACCAGCGAAGAAAGAAGAAACACCTGTTTGGGACTGTCCCACGGGAGTTCAAAAGCATTTTTTAGCCTGTCCGGTAACGCAAAACACACAGGCCACGGAGCAAGAAAGACAGGAGGGGAAACTCCCGGCCGGCGACAGGTGGCGACAGCGCACGTAGCGCAAGCGCGCGTTGCGATAATGTCCCCCTGGGAGAGGAGGTTGGTGAACGTGCGCGCAGCAGTCTTTGCAGCGACGCACATCAGGCACTGCGCCGTGCTCCCGACCGGGTTGCAGAAATTGGGTGCCTTTTCTCATCTTCTAACCACTACCACCACCACAGCACCATTCGCAGGATTTCAAGCTGGACGGTTGTGCCCTCGCGATCTCCGACGCCAGCGTAGCTCCCGCCGACAGGTTCGCCCTCCGCGGTCTCCTGACGCCGTGCAGCTCTCGCATTGTGGCGCCCCGCCCTTGGACTGCTTCGACCGGATCCCCACTTTCCTATCTCCTCCTTTTTTCCGTCGCTTGCCCGTCTACTTCTTCGTCTATTTTCCTTCTATTCTTTTTATCCCTTCTTCCCCCCACCCCTATAAGGCACTGCGCCGTGTCGCCTGAAGGCAGACAGAAATTAGGTGCCTTTTTTCTCTTCATTCTAACCACTACCACCACCACCATTCGTTTTCCGCCGCGGGAGGTGAGCGCCCGCGGTCTCCGACGGCGCCCTGGTGTCGTCTGCTACATCTGCTTCTCGCCGACTCCACAGTGCTACTGTATACAGCTATGAAAGTTTTTCACCGGCGCGGTTTGCCAAAATAAAATGAAGCAAGTAGAACGTCTTAGTGCCAGCATTTTAAATTATATATGTAGGATCAGATGCTCTGCGGGCAACGAAAGAAATGAAGCGGTAGAATTAAAAGAAAAACAAAAACAGACGATCTGTAATTGTAGTTAGGCGCATGCCTAAAATCACTAATTGTATAGCTTGAGGAAAGATTTTGCACATTTTCGATATAACAGCGTCATACAGAACTACTGCTCGCGAAAGAAAGTTATTGACGAAGCCCGTTTGAGCAGACGGAATTGATTTGAACCGAAGAGCGGAGACTTCCTGGAGCTCTAAATCAGTTCTGCATAACAAAAAAAAAAAGTTTGACCTTTCAAAGCGCCGTCTGACCAAGAACATTAGAAAAATGGGCGAGTGCTAGTGAAAAGGAAATAGACAATGAGAGGGAAGCGACTGCGCCTAGGAAAACTATTTTCGTAGCGGAACGGTCGGAAGGCGCGACATTACGCTAGGCTTAAATTTACAGACATCTCTGACGAGCCAAAGGTCTTGTGCCTCGCTGAAGCGGCGCCTTAAGCTTTTGAGCGGACGTTTTACTTACTCGTGCCCAGAAATGAAGCCAAGAATTGGCCGGAATATCGCTGAAATTACCGATAAAAGCAGCGCCAAACGAGCGAAGGTAGAGGTTACTGGCCACGAGTCAGAAGTATTCGGCAAATATTTTACCAGCCTGCAAACTTCCAGGTAAGCTGCATCGCGAAAAAAGCGTGGTTCTGAGTTTTACGCGTTTGGCTGTTGTAGCTTGACATGAACTTTTGGTTCTCAGAAAATAATAACACAACAAACTTCAGAAGAGAGCAGACACATGAGGAAAGTGTTTTTCCTGTTTTTGTTTGTATTTTTTTACTTTTTCTTTAAAATAAGAAGCTCCCCCTACAGTTTTTTTTTATTCCCGCATATTATATGCCATGTTCCCACAAATATTTCTACCCTCCCATGCGAAGGTCCAACAGCGAAAGCGAACCTGTTTAGGGCTTGTGGACAGCTTCGCGACATTGACATGCGGGGTTTAACGTCCCAAAACCACCATATCATTATCAGAAACGCCGTAGTGGAGGGCTCCGGAAATTTCGACTTCCTGGGCTTCTTTAACGTGCACCCAAATATGATCACACGGACCTACAACATTTCCGACTCCATCGGAAATGCCGCTGGAATTTGATCCCGCGACCTGCAGGTCAGCAGCCGAGTACCTTAGCCACTAGACCACCGCGGCGGGGCGACAGCTTCGTGAAATTATCGCGGTATGGTCTCTCTCCTAAGGCGATCTGGCTAGCTTAGCGAAAGCTCGTCGTAACGATTCGCCGTCTCGTTTAGTGAGTGTATCTGAGCTATGCACTTTAGTGAGTGTATCTGCGCGAAATAACATGCACCGCCGCTGCCACATGGTCAAGTAATGCCATCTATGGAAGATAAGCAACAACTCACGAACACAAAATTCAGGTCCTCCGAGACGCCCCACTAAGCCAGTATTGACTATTTCAGTATGTTTTTCGAAAATGGTGCCGAATCCACGTAAATCATTTGCTGCCGAAGCTTAAGGACACGAATTTAAAGCAAATAAAAACACCCGTTGGCATATAGCTAAAGAGCTACAGAGCGCACTTCAGTCACTTTAAATATTTCAGGTGGACGGCGACCGCTTTCAGCGGTGTGGCCTGTGCACCAGCTTAACCGCAGGGCTTGGTACCTTTTTATCATTATATTATGTACGCACCTCATTTTTGTAATCACGCTTGCACCCCCCCCCCCCCCCATTGTAAATGCCCTCTTTGGGCCCTTAGAGTATTCGTATAAATAAATAAATAAATAAATAAATAAATAACCCAAACTTTATGCGTGTCAATCGCGAGTATTCTACCACGTAGCCACGCCTGCTTCTGGAACTACTTGCAGAAAGAGACCCTATGCAGGCGTAATGTTCGTAAAATGTTTATTGTGGTTGCAGTTGCAGACCACCCAATTTAATAAACATTACATGTATACTCAATGATACAGCCATCACGTCGGGTTAACGTCAGTTGTAGTCAATTGTCATGCACTGAAGTAAGTTTATGTGTCCAGGGCTATATATATAATCTTCGCGAGCATAAACGCTACATTTACATCACCATATATACTGCTTCTGGTGTTGCTAATAGGGAGTTTTCGAATAGGGGCCCCAAAAGTTTGGGACTCAAAGCCTTTCTTGCGTACGGACGCTTTGGATCAAGCAGGTGTGATGAGTTTTCGAATAGGGTCTGCCGCGCTTTGGACACTCTTCCTATTATGTGTTACTCTAGTCCTGGCCGAGAGCCATCAATTCAGTGGGTGCCGTCACAATTGTCGGACCCAAAACTTTTGGGACAGGCTTTGGGGCTCCCGCTAAATTCGAGAAATATGGTTCCCAACCCAAACGGGTTTTGCGCATGCGCAGTGGCCTTGCTGCCATTTTTTTGCCTTGTCTTGCCGCTATTTCTATTAAAAAACTCCCTAATATCTATGATGCAGCTGTTGGCATCGTTACGCAAATGTAAACGTATGCGACTGTTCAAGATACATCTGTGCATACAACATTTGTACATATCTTTAGCGTCATTTTGTACCGTTTCGCTAAATAAAAAAATATGATACACCTTCGCTCCGTTCGCATAACATTGATTCCCTAGGTACGTGGAATCTTCCAAATGTTTGTCTACATAACGCAGACTAACGCAGACTCTACAGTACTCGCCTTCAGCTCAGCGACACTTGTGCTCTATATTTCTCCAACGAACTGACTTCAAGAGCCGCCATCGGGCGCTTTTATTAGCCGCCAAAGGAGCAAGCAAATTTTGAAGCGCGCTTCGCATCCTCTGCATCAGTTTGGGGCCAGTGGCGCCTTCCGGGCTTGGCACGGAGGATGGCCGCCACGCGTCGGTCCGCTCTCGCTGTCCTCTGGCAACAGGATGCGCATCTCGGCGTTCATCTGGCACCAGCGGCACGAGCTCTCCCATGCCATCCTGCGAGCATACGTGCGTAAAACATCGCGAACGCAGCAGCAAGAAACATTCGGTCGCGTGCGTGATAAAACTATTTGCAATGTTCATAGACTGTCACACCGCCTAGCGGCATTCAGGAGCGTCCTCTCATGGATAATCAGTAAGCAGACGCTCCCAATGCTGCCTCTTTCGGCGGTGCTAGGCGCAGTGTTAATACGTTAGTAAGAAACGAACACAAACCACTTTGTATGCTTCGTGCATCAGGTGAATATACCGGTCCATCCATGACACACTAAATCTGATTCGGTCTTGCGAGACGCAACGTTTTTGTGAAAATACGCGGCAACTCGCGCTTTCGATTACAGCCCGCAGAGTACATATATCAGCTTCGCGGGAATTTCTGCAGCCACTTTGGATAGTTAAATGTTAACGTCTGCCCGTTTCAGTTAAAAATCACCTTGTTTTACGTGCGTGCAGCATTCGTCAGTGTTTTTGTAGTGCATGAATTTTATAACATTCATTGTACGCGTAAAGTAACGCAGGCTCGCAATTTGCGCTTCCAAAACTTTGGCCTACGCGGCGCCGCTTGTTTTTTACGTTCGTTGATAGATGCCAGCACACTGCAAGCGATTCCTTTTTTCCCGTGTATTGGAGCGAAATAAGGTGATCTGTGGCGAAATGATCTCCGCAGTGTCGGCACCGGCCCACCCCTAGATAAACGTTGTGAGTGACGCCGCGTGGGTGTTGTGCGGGGCGAATGTCGCCTTGTTGGTGCTATCGAAGTCGTTTGGCGGAGAGAATTCCTCAGATTACTTTCAGCAGTTATGTTCAAAGAAACCGTCTCGACGTCGAGGATTTCGCACTGGACGCAAATGGTTATCAACGCGCCGAGAGTGACAGCGACGATGAACGATAAGCTGCTAGCCCACGAGAAAAGAGTTGCACTAATCACGTCCCGTCATGCATTAATATTTTTTCACGCTCGTAAGTCACTTTGATTGCATTTACTGTATAATAACCTTCAGCGAGCTCAAAATAAAATCACACTTTTTTCTTGTGCATTGAATGTATCCCTATTACAGTGGATATTACAGAGCGCCGCATGCCGCCGACACGCTCAAGCTTGACCAGCGAAGCGAAATGGTTAGAGCAATGAAATAGGCAGTTACGACTACAGTCCACGCTAACTTCTCCTGCACTTCACTGGTGCCGTCCAAACAACGTCGTTGTTTGACGAAATTTCGCAATTTTGACTTTGCGAAAAGCGTTCACGAGCATTCGTTTCGATGTCCTTGTTTCGATCACGCTGATGAAACCTGCAACATCCAAGTGCAGGGAATGCTGCACTGTTAGAGCCTGATCATAGCTGTGACAGAAGTGCTACTTAATGGGAAGTTAAATGCTTGTGTTTCGTTGAATAAGCAGCCACATGATGCTTACAGCGCAAGTAACGGTACGTTAAACATTTGTTCCTGTGCAGCCGCGACGGCGTGCTATTCGCTATATAGTGTCTTACTACTAAGGCAAATTCACCAAACAGGCTCGGCACAAACGATGTCGTAGTGCCGTTAAGTTTATACGTGAATTCTGGTTCGCGCAGTTTTCTGTAGCACTCATACGATTACGCAAAGCATCCTTGATACACGGTCGATCAGCTGGCACAACCACACTTTGCACTGCGGCGAGAAATGAGGTAGCGAACATTCAGCAGTTCTTATTGGTTGAGAAAGTACTTTGGTTTGATACACATTTATTTGACAATCAAGAGTTCATCAGGTGAAAGCGGCATGAGCAGTACTTCCTCGCATCTTATCTTTTCTTATGTGACTTCACGGGTTGATTATTCTTCCGCAGCCATCTTGGAATTCACGGCGCGCCACCTATAGGCCGTGATTAGCGATAAACCCTATAACCGCGAAAATGCTCGCGACAGCGACGAGCGACGCAACGTAGATTGCCTTCGCGCGAACAGTCGCTTGCGCAGGCAAACGTCATTCACGCGACAGCTAGACGGCTTCGGCGAGCGAACTCCACTGCTGCTGGCCTACTCGTGCCAAAAGCGCCGCGTAGTTAGCGGTATGCAACGTAAAAATAAAACGGGTTGTATAATGAAATAGAAGGGGTTTATTATTGCCTTGAAGCACTCATTTTGTATGAACGTACATAAATGTTACCTTATTTCTTCATTGTGCACACGTGACCGCGGTGAAGAGGAGCATGAGAGGAGGTGGTGGTTTCGCGGCACAAGGAGAGAACCAGCAGTACGTCAGTCAGGCGCTGCGCCGTGCTTCCTGTCGGGCTGTAAAAGTTAGGCGCCTTCTTCCTCTTCTAACCACCGCTACCACTACCACGTCAGTCATGTACATTCTGTTCCAGCGCTTTAAGCACAGCACTTCCGGGCGATGGGCGACGGTTTCCAAATCTAGAAAACGGAGCAATCGCACGAAAACTACCACGCGACACGTCTCGCGTACGCCCCGTTTCGTCGCTCATAGCATCGCTCGTCGCTATCGCGTGCATTTTCGCGTTTATGGGGTTTGGCCTTAAAGCGATATACGTGACGCCAATTTTACGGCGTTTTCAAATAAATGAAATGGGTGCCATATATGCTTCCAGTGAAATTATTAATTTCCGATTGAACATAGGACGAAATTGATGTAATGTTTTGTGAGTAGCCACAGGGGAATATCTTTGAAAACTTGCAGTTTTATGCTTCGCCACATCACAATAAGTCCAAAAGGCTTGCTTCTTTTGGCTTGCTTCAACTTGTAGCATAGGCCGTTCAGCCTATGCTACATGTTGGAATTGGAAATTGAAAAGTGGTTTATTTCGCCATCAAAATTTGAAGGAAGAAAAGGAAATAAAGCTATAAGAGACCAGCGTGGGTAGGTGGCACACCAAAAAAGAGCACCTGGTGGAGAGTCGCGACAATACTCAGCCACTCACGCCCAGTTGACCGGCCACAGTGTACCGCGTTGAGAGCATTTGCATGTGCCGCTAGTTGCCACGCGTCATTTTGAAAGGAACAGACCGACAGGTCATTGCGCCAGGAATACTGAACCGTGGTTTAGAAAAAAAAAACTTTGTCCAAAGGCGACTTCCATATAAAAATCACCGAAAAAACAGAGAGAACCCCTGCAAAGCAGGCTGCGTCTATGCAGTGGCGTAACTAAGGGCGGGGTAAGGAAATACAAGTGCCCCGGGCACCACTTGGGAGGGGGCGCGCTGAGTCCGCTTAACATGCGCTCGGGGACCTCCTAAGAACTCAAACAGACCGCTAGCACCCCGCGCCCTGTGAAAAGGTCGCCCCTGCAGGTTCAAAACCAATTAGGGCATGCTATCACACTGTTTCAAAACCCCCTTCTTCACCTTCTTCTCCCCCACCCGTGAGTCTCTTTTGACTAGGTAAATGGGACTCTTTTACTTCAACAAACGAAACACAATCTTTTGGGAACCCGTGGCTCATATGAGCAACAAGCTTGTGGCTTTTTCACACAGGGAAGCCAATGAAAATCAATAAGATAAATAGGTTGGTGGAAGCCTGTTTCCACATGAGCACGATTGCGTACGTATCCTGGGTAGGAGTTCTGAGGCCTCTCTATTAGTAACATGGCATATGTTTCTACGAGCGCACATGTATCATCATGATCATCAGCCTGACTATGTACGCCCAGTGCGAAAAGGCCTCTCCCATGATCCACCAATCAACGCGCTCTTATAAACATATGCAAATGCTATAATATCGGCACGGTGGGAGGTGGAACCGCCAATTTTCTTCCAGCGTCGCCACTGAACTGATCTTTTGAAACATTCGTTTTGTTCGGGTTTGGCCCAAACAACCTTGCTTGTTCCACCCGTACATAACCCTAATCAGAAAGGAAAATGGCTGTCCATGGTCTTGTGGCTGAAGAGTTACGGTCGATAAGCTCTTTGTCAACTCCTCAAACATGTCAGCCTTCAAGCTTATAGCGAGTTTTCACGATCAGATGTCGCGATGAAAGGAGGACAGGATAGAACTAAGTACGGGCTTTCTAGCAAGACTCAATTCTTATCCTTTTGAAATCTCAAACTCGTAAACAGACCTATAGAATTGCGTCGCCCATGCTCGTTTTTCTCGGTGTATCGGCACTTTCCCCAGGGCATTTTCTTCGATAAGCATGCTTAGGATGGGGTTGACTATGAGGGATGGCGCGCCCGAAGAAGAAGAAAATGAACTTTATTATTAAAGTCCCGCGAAGTTGATTAGGGGCGGGCCTTATTATGCACGAAACGTAACCACGGGCACAAATGAGTGCAATCTAACAAGTCTCTCAGTTGTTATTTATCTGTGTATGAAAAGCCCGCTCCTTTCGCAAACGGGGCCTGTGCAGCGAGGGAAGTGACCTTTGTGCGTCCGGCAACTAAACGCAATTGTTCTGATAAAAGCCGAAGGCGCGCGATGCTCCCCCACAACAAGGTAAGCACGCCAGTAGACCACCCTCCCCCACCACGGCGCAAATCACGCGTGGGAGATGAGCACGCATCAGCGTATCACGACGAGTTGGGCGCCGAGCAGGCGCCGAGCGCCCTTATTGCTGCATGTCACTGCTAATGCTCAAAAGATGCTACTTCCCTCGACATCTGCACCACCAGCGCTAAGTGGTAGATATAAATAGCTTGCCGTTGGAACGTTCAAGGAGGTGCTCTTTAGTGTCTCAGTATATGTTATGGTGAATTCCATCGAGAGAACAGGAGTAGAGGGGCAGGGCACTGAGGAGTGGGGGGAAGAGCACTGAGAGCAGGGCTACTCAACCTGCCACTGGAATGCGCCGCGCTCCCGGAGGGCAAGTGAGGAGGTGACGAGTAGGGAGACTATGTGACAAACATTCCAAGCCCCGGCATATTCTTTGTGGGGCAGCAGCAAAATACGTGTGAAATCGGTCAGCCACATATTCTTCATTATCCTGATACCTAGTATGCTTGTGCAACGACTCATTCGGCAAAGGTCCAGCTGTCATTGTAGCCGTCCGTACAAAACAGCG